ACTACAATATCAGATTGGCTTTTGGGCACATTTTACTATGTATTGATTTATTATCAGGTTAAAAACTAACATGTAGGTACAGCATCAAACCAAATGTCAAGACTTCTGTCACATTAAACTCCTGTATTTTCACTTTCTTATCTTATTAAACTCCTGTATTTTCACTTTCTGTTACATTAAACTCCTGTACTTTCTATTTCTGTCACTTAAACTCCTGTATTTTCTATTTCTGTCACATTAAACTCCTGTATTTTCTATTTCTGTCACATTAAATCCTGTATTTCTCTTTCTGTCACATTAAAGTCCTGTTTGTTTCTATCTCATGCATTTTCTGTGTAACTTACTGCAGAGCTGCAGCATCTACCCCCAAAACCCTCAGAGGCTCCAGCCTGAATCTGACTGCTTCATGCCACATACATTTTTTATTAACCAAGTAACATGCAAGTTAAACATTCTCCTGTTGAGACACAAAGACTATACAAATGCATCACTAATGAGGACAGCATGTACTAAAATGTGGCAGCAGCTGGTATAAATAAACAACCTGTCTCTGTCAGCCCACAAAAAGCAATTAACTATAAAATAAACTTGGAAAAGCTTCTTCATTCATGCTTTAAAAACCAAACAGCATCGCTAGCTGCTAGCATCGGGTGGCTAACCGGGAAAGCTAACAAGCAAAAGTTGAGGGACAAACGGAGATAAAAACGGGGATGCTTACCTGTTAGTGTCGATGAAAAGTCGTTAATCCGTACAGAAAAGTGTCAGCCCAGAAAACACACGAGCAGAAAGTTTATTTCAGTTTATTTAGATGCTCTAAATGTCACCGAACAAACAGCTGAGCCGCCAGAGACTGAAGCGACCCGCTGACAGAGGCGGCGTCAAGACGGCGGAAATCACAAAAGAACACATCCGTCACCGTTTTCAAAGTAAAACACACGGGGTTTGTTTGGAATTTTCAAAACTCAACCTTGTCCGTGTGCAAGAATTGTAAGAAACAAATTGGCATATAAGTAATAAAATGTTGTGAAAAACGTTGCATTCCTGCTGTAAATGTGTTTTGAGGGACTTAATTTACTGTAAACCTAAAATTTAAAAGTTATGTTATATTTAAAGAAAGAACATTTTTTATCAAAAAAAATTTGTTTTAAAGTGCAAAGAACTCTCACTTCCGGTTAACACATTTACTCCCGCTTTCTTCTTGGCTGTCAATTAACGAATCATCGAGCGTGTACACTGCCAACAACAAAACTCCACCACAACTCTTTTGCCCTCCGGCATGTCTCCCTGGTACAACTCCTTTGCTGTAGTTTATATATGTTTATTGCTGTAGTTATATAAAAAGCCGAAAATGTCCACAGCAGAGAGAGAAACATATGGGACACAACATCCCAGAGTTACTACTACCCAGGACGATGTGTCGATAGCCGAGCAGCAGATCCAGAGCGGGCAGTATTACCATGCGAGACAGTACTAGAAGTTTCTACCAGCCCCTAACAGCTGATTTCATGAACTATCTCAGCTGCTGCGGTGGGATTCATTCCTCAGCCTTCTACCGGATAAACAAGTTCCGTTGAGTTCATCAGTGATTCGGGCTCCTACACTAAAACTAGCCTGCAGGCTAAGCTGAAGCTAATCGTGTTTACATTACAGCGTGCTGGCTAACACCGAGGCTAACGGCTAGCAGTCGGCAGGGATGTTCGGTTGTTTGGTCGCCGGTAGGTTGGTGCAGACGGACGCGGTGCAGGTCGCCTCGGACAAGTTCGTGTTCAACCTGCCGGACTTTGAGAACGTGAACCATGTGGTGGTGTTCATGCTGGGCACGGTGCCTTTCCCCGACGGCATGGGCGGCGCCGTGTACTTCTCCTTCCCTGACCCGGCGAGCGGGGTCCCGGTGTGGCAGCTGCTCGGATTCATCACCAACGACAAGCCAAGTGCCATCTTTAAGATCTCCGGGCTGAAGGCCGGCGAGGGAGGGGCGCACCCGTTCGGCATGATGGCCTCCAACACGTCCCCCTCCGTGGCGCAGGTCGGGGTGTCGGTGGAGGCTCTGGAGCAGCTGGTCCAGCAGATCCCGGTGTCCAGCGCCGCCGTGTCCACCGTGGACTCCTTCCTGCAGTTCACTCAGAAGATGCTGGACAGTCTGTACAACTTCGCCTCGTCCTTCGCCATGTCGCAGGCGCAGATGACGCCGAACCCCACGGAGACCTACATCCCATCCAGCTGCGTCCTCAAGTGGTATGAAAACTTCCAGAGGCGGATGGCACAGAACCCGAACTTCTGGAAAAATTAATGAAAGCAGAGACTCTGGTGGAGGACATTAAACTCTGACCAAAGATGAATCTGCCTGGGAAGTTTCCACCGGTTCACATAAAAGTGTGCCAGTTGTCATCCAGCCCCGCTGCTTCGATTTCTACAGAATCTCTGATACTTCAATTTCTACAGAATCTCTGATACTTCAATTTCTACAGAAAACTGTTTCTAACACGTGGTCACAATCTGTTGCACCTCTCAGTATGTTTTGAATAAAACAAAGAAACCTTCCAACAAAAACCCAATTAACTTGTTTCTATAACTTTCAACCAAGATCTCATTGCTTTATTTCCAGTTTAGATTTCCTTTTTTTAATTGTCAGGATAAGGTTACATCACCAGAAAGCCTTTAAGTATTATTTTCATTATAAACAAGGTTGCAAAAAAAGTTGTTTGTTAAACCTTCAACTGCATCTCACCATCCAATCAAATGTTTACTCCTTCTGAGCAAACCCCATCAGCTGAGGAAAAGCAGTAAAATGTCATTATGAGGGTGGAACGTGGGAATGTTTGGCAACTTTTGCTTCTTTATCTGAACAAACTACAGAAATTCCACTTTATTACTAGAATGGATTTTCTTATTCCAGGAATTTCAGACCTGATTTTAACTTTTCAGTATCGTTGATTAGAGGTTTGGTCTTTGGTTTCAGTTTCTTTAGTCTAAAACATGCCTCTGTTGAGTTTTACATGTCTGCAGGAAGGTTTGCAACAACAAGAAGAGGATTTTCAGTGGTTCTGGTCTACAATAATACTTATATAGAACATCCTGTGTACACATGACAATAAAAGCAAAAGCACATTTACAACATTTAGACAAACATTAAAACAGGAAAGAGAGCAAAGAAGAGCATATATACAATTTAAAGGCCTGCTTGACCTTAAAAATACTTTACATGTACTGTAATTCCACCGTAATGCTGTCTAAGGCCACAAGGCGGCGCTGCAGCTTTCCTTTAAACATTTAACCTTTTGACATGTCTTTCTGTAACTGTAGGTGTGATGCAATTCAAGATTAATCTGCTTAATTTAATTATAGATCGTGTCAACATGTAGCGGCTGCAAGAAATCACTCTGCATCTAGTTTTACTTGGTGCTTTTCACCTTAAAGTGACAAAACTAGCCTTTTCATATAAAGTTAAAATCACCTTCCTGTTTTTCCTATTAATAAAATACCAGCCTGTCCGCTGTAATCTGATCTCTCCAGCACAGCTTTGGTGCAAGAAGCTGAAGGAAGTGAGAAACTGTTGTTTATTATGAACTGGATTAACAGTCAGAGGAGAGAGCGATTGGCTGTCAGGGGAGAAAGGGTGTAGAGCTGCTGCTACAGCAGATAAGCTGTTACATAAAGGCAGGAAAATGAGTCCACACACACACACACACACACACACACACACACTGCAGCTGCTCACATGTAAACAGCTGCACTTTTTATTAGTCAGGATGATGCTGGAGCTGCTGCTGGTCGGAGTTGTGTTAGTCGGAGGTTATTTTCTTCTTCATATGACTTTTTTCAAGTTGCCCCGATGTAAATCTACTGCAAAGTTACATGGGAAAACTGCCATTGTCACTGGTGAGTTCACAGGCTGCAGGCCAAGCTGCCTTTATGGGGTAATAACTCTTTTAAAGGGCGTGTTCACTATTGCAACATGCACATTGAAAACAGCTTCTGAATACTGAGTCTGACTGAGAAAACATGTTTGAGACAAAAACCCTTATTTATAACCCCATATGGTACCATGTTGTAATAAGGCGTCCTTTTTAAGTTGCAGCTAATGGCTTTATTGTGGTTAATAAAGAATTTTTCTGACAAATGTTGGGTTTATGGTTTTAAAAGATGCCTTTGCCTGGTGTTTAGCCTTTCAGTTTGGTAGGAATGCTGTAAATGTAGTAATCCCTGAATTAATGCTTAGCAAGTTGTTAATAAGTGGATTTTGGTCCTGCTCAGGCATGTGATCTGAAGGTAAATTATTTATTAACCATGAATAAAGTCATCCCTTATGTGTGCCTTTTTAAAGCAAAAAATGGAATCAGATGCAGGCCCTGGTACAAAATCTTGTGGTCTAATTTATGTCAGCTTAGGGGTCATACTGGGTCCAAAATGTATCTCTGCATGTACCAATAAAATATCCATCTGCAAGATTGACAGATGGCTGTAAAACGTTTGTAGTTTTACAGAGAAAAGCAGCTGACTTCAGCTTAAATGTGTTGGTTATAACAGATTCCAGTGGAGACCAGTTTGTTTTCATGGTGGAACAAAGGATGACGAACGCGGATAGAAACTTCTACTCTTTTGTCTAAACACACTCTGTCTGCTGAACAAGCCTGTTCATTCAGATTTGAGTCCAAAAGGAGTTTGACACTAAGGGAATTTAGATAACATAATTTAAGATGGAAATGTTCGAACAACTGCAGCTGCCATGAGGATTTGAAAAACAATCTTTCAAACATGTCTTGGTCAGAGATTACATGTGTGCCAGTTCCCTTTGATGATGAAGACTGTAAGATGTGGTTGAAAGCGCTGAAAAAAAGTGGATGGAAAATGTTCTGTTCCCAAGATAATGAATTCACGCTGATGTCACTTTCCTTTTTGGTAGTAGATTAATTTATCTTCAAATAAGGACAGGAAACCTCATCATGCTACATCATTTTCTAAAGACTGATGTTCCCTCAACCAGCCTGTCCTCACCAGACAAGCAACCATATAAGATGGTTGAGCAGCAGCTTATTGTGACCCATATTACGACCTCTAGTGGCTGTATGGTGTAGCAAAGAAGGAAGTCAGGTGACGTAGTACAGGTGCTGGTCATATAATTAGAATATCATCAAAAAGTTAATTTATTTCAGTAATTCCATTCAAAAAGTGAAACTTGGATATTATCATTCATTACACACAGACTGATATATTTCAAATGTTTATTTCATTTAATTGTGGTGATTAAAACTGACAACTAATGAAAATCACAAAAGTATGAACATGAAAAGTATGAGCATGATACAGCACTCAATAATTAGTTGGGGCTCCTTTTGCCTGAATTACTGCAGCAATGCGGCGTGGCATGGAGTCGATCAGTCTGTGGCACTGCTCAGGTGTTATGAGAGCCCAGGTTGCTTTGATAGTGACCTTCAGCTCTTCTGCATTGTTGGGTCTGGCGTATCGCATCTTCCTCTTCACAATACCCCATAGATTTTTTATAGGGTTAAGGTCAGGCCAGTTTGCTGGCCAATTAAGAACAGGGGTCCTTAAACCAGGTACTGGTAGCTTTGGCACTGTGAGCAGGTGCCAAGTCCTGTTGGAAAATGAAATCTAAATCTCCATAAAGTTGGTCAGCAGCAGGAAGCATGAAGTGCTCTAAAACTTCCTGGTAGACGGCTGCATCGACCTTGGACCTCAGAAAACACAGTGGACCAACACCAGCAGATGACATGGCACCCCAAACCATCACTGACTGTGGAAACTTTACACTGGACTTCAAGCAACGTGGATTCTGTGCCTCTCCTCTCTTCCTCCAGACTCTGGGACTTTCATCAGAGAACATAACTTTGGACCACTCAGCAGCAGTCCAGTCCTTTTTGTCTTTAGCCCAGGCGAGACGCTTCGGACGCTGTGTCTTGTTCAGTGGCTTGACAAAAGGAATGCGACAGCTGAAACCCATGTCTTGCATACGTCTGTGCGGTGGTTCTTGAAGCGCTGACTCCAGCTGCAGTCCACTCTTTGTGAATCTCCCCCACATTTTTGAATGGGTTTTGTTTCACAATCCTCTCCAGGGTGCCGTTATCCCTATTGCTTGTACACTTTTTTCTACCACATCTTATCCTTCCCTTCGCCTCTCTATTAATGTGCTTGGACACAGAGCTCTGTGAACAGCCAGCCTCTTTAGCAATGACCTTTTGTGTCTTGCCCTCCTTGTGCAAGGTGTCAATGGTCGTCTTTTGGACAGCTGTCAAGTCAGCAGTTTTCCCCCTGATTGTGTAGCCTACAGAACTAGACTGAGAGACCATTTAAAGGCCTTTGCAGGTGTTTTCAGTTAATTAGCTGATTAGAGTGTGACACCAGGTGTCTTCAATATTGAACCTTTTCATAATATTCAAATTTTCTGAGAGACTGATTTTGGGGTTTTCATTAGTTGTCAGTTATAATCATCAAAATTAAAAGGGATGAACACTTGAAATATATCAGTCTGTGTGGAATGAATGTATACATTATACAAGTTTCACTTTTTGAATGGAATTACTGAAATAAATCAACTTTTTGATGATATTCTAATTATATGACCAGCACCTGTATATATAAAAGCAAGGGAAACTAAATATAGTAGTAAAATAATTAAACATAGACATAAAAGAAAACTAATGAAGGTGCCGTTTGTCCAAACTTACTACATTTTTGTAACTTTGGAAAGTTACCTTACCTTTGTCATCTGTAGAGCAACGTTGCTAGCATGGCTAATAAAAAAAAAACTGTCCATGATCCTATCATTCCTCTCCAGGAGCAAACACCGGCATCGGTAAGACCACAGCGATGAACCTGGCCAGGAGGGGCGCGAGGGTGATCATGGCCTGCAGAGACAGAAAGCGAGCTGAGGCCGCAATCCAGGAAATCATCCAGGTAAAGACAAAAAACAGCTTAAATTACAAGGAATATACCCCATTTGTTTAGACAGTTATGATCATCAATCAGTAAAAAACACATTTTCCCCATAAATTGTTGTGTTACAACATGACTTTTCCACAGTTACATCTGGTGGACCTCAGGGGTGCATCCTAGGTCCTCTTCTCTTCTGTATACATATACATTACATATACACAGTTACCCAAAGCTGATTATATTTTCATTGTTATGCTGATGATGCGCAGTTATTCGTGCCAATTTAATCTGCCCATGCATCTATATCAGCTTTCTAAATATCTCCTGACATGATCAAATTGAGTAGAATAAAATAGAGTGGGGATTGCAGGAAACTAAGTGTTCAAAGTTTTCTAACTCTCTCCTTGTTTTCCTTGTGATCAGGAGACGGGGAACAGCCAGGTGATCTTCATGCAGCTCGACCTGGCCAGTCTGAAGTCTGTTCGCTCCTTTGCTGACAGCTTCCTCCAGTCTGAGTCCAGGCTGGATCTGCTCATCAACAACGCCGGTCAGCCAGGAGTGAAGTGCCTGTTTTATTTGATAACTTCGGCTGCACTGATCAATGACCGATGTATTGAAAGCAATTCCCTTGTATGGTCAAGTCTACAAGCAAATGACAAGG